CCCAATAGACTTGATTTATAACTTTTGTTGCAATTCATAGGTATCCTACAAATTGCAAGGTGGGAGGTTGTTTGAGTAATACCAGCTACAACTCAACTCTGTTTAAGTTTTATGTTTTAAAAATAAGTTCTATCGTTTCTGTAAGAGTAACTGCTTCTAAATGTTTTGAAAATATCTGCAATTGAAGTGTTTTTTCATATTAAATCCATAGTTATTTTCGAATCCTTTAAAATATTGGCGTCCGCGACAGGATTCGAACCCTGCAATCTTCTGATTCGAAGTCAGACCTACAAAACCACCTTTTGCACCTCTTCCTAAGAACAGAATAAAGACTGCTACAGTTTTTGAAGTTTCAGGAATTGATCTCGCAGGCCCTTTGTATTTGCGTTCTGGGGAAAAGACATGGGTTGTACTTTTTACCTGTGCCATTTATAGGGCTGTCCATCTTGAATTAGTCAATTTCCTGTCTACAGAAGTTTTTATGGCTTTAAGAAGATTGTTTGCTCGAAGAGGTAGAGTACATATAATCTACTCTGACAACGGTACAAACTTCATTTCTCTAAGAAATTTAGATTGGGAGAAGATCATGTCGTTTCCCACTATCAAGAAAATGAAATGGAATTTTAACCCTCTAACAGCCGCCTGGTGGGGAGGATAGTGGGAGCGCGTGGTTAGAATGTTGAAAGAGATGCTAAGAAGAATTTTAGGCAGGAAAGGTCTTGACTATGAAGAGTTGGAAACTATTCTATGTGACTGCGAAGCTACAATAAACTCTAGGCCACTTACATATATTGAAGACAATTCTGAAGGTGTGAAGCCATCAATTCCCGCTTGTTTCTTACAAAGTATTCCTAGCAGTGAAACAACTGGTTTAGACGAAATTGACAGTAAAAGTTTAAATATAAGATTGCGTTTTGTGCAAAAATTAAGGCAGGATTTAAGAATGAGATTTCGGAATGAGTATTTAGCAATGTTGTTTCATAAAGGTAAGAGTCGGGAAGAATCTTTAAGAGTTGGAGAGGTCATTCTTTTAGAAACTGATGGCAAGCGTATCAACTGGCCTTTAGGAATCGTCATTGAAGTATTTTCTGGAGTCGATGGGCACTCAAGAGTTGCCAGAGTGGGAACAGCTGATGGAGAGAAGTTGAGACCATGCCAAAGACTTTATTCGTTAAAAATCAACAATTCGGAAAAGTTACCATTCGTGGCCCAAGATACTCGAAGGGATGAAAGTGCCTCTACGAATATGACTCTACGCCCTGCAGCTAATGATTCAGATTCCAGCGAAGATGGTGATTCCTCACCCAAAGTCGAAGATTTTGTTACTAGAGCTGGCCGACGTGTTAAAATTCCCAATAGACTTCATTTATAACTTTTGTTGCAATTTATAGGTATCCTACAAATTGCAAGGTGGGGGGTTGTTTGAGTAAGACCAGCTACAACTCAACTCTTTTTTAAGTTTTATGTTTTGAAAATGAGTTCTATCGTTTCTGTAAGAATAACTGCTTCTAAATGTTTTGGAAATATCTGCAATTAAAGTGTTTTTTCATATTAAATCCATAGTTATTTTCGAATCCTTTAAAACTATTTATGCAGCTATAAAATATTTTCAGGCATAATCTCGAAGGTCAACATTTCACGATATTTACTGATCATCGACCTCTAACTTATGCATTCACATCAAAATCAAATTCTGCTTCTCCGAGACAAATTCGTTATTTAAATTACATAACTCAGATATTCAGCATATATCAGGTTCCAGCAATGTCGTCGCAGATACTCTCTCGCGTGTTCAAGGCATCGATGCCAATGCACCACTTATTGCCCACTCGCAAGCCACCGATGAGGAGTTAAAACGTCTGATTGAAAACTCAAACTGCTCATTGAAATTCCAGTCATTACAACTTACTCAGGATCTCCAACTATTGTGCGATAGCTCTAACAACAGACTTCGACCTTATGTACCACTTCAGAAAAAAAGTTTTTGATTGTTTCCACAATCTATCGCATCCAGGTATCTGAGCTTCCAAAAAGCTCATACAAGAAAGATTCGTTTGACGATCCATGCTAAAGGACATCGCCAATTGTATTCGTTCCTACATCATGTGCCAATGTTCGACCCGGCACACACATAGCCCTTTGGAAAAAATCGTGATGCCCTCCGAAAGATTTGACCATGTTCAGATAGACATCGTCGGTCCTCTGCACCATCTGACGATTATCAATATCTACTCCCCTGCGTTGACAGATTTACTCGTTGGCCTGAAGCTTTTCCCATTCAGGACGCAGGACATCTCTGCTGACTCTGTGGCTCGACAATTCATCTCCGGTTGGATTGCACGATTTGGTGTGCCATCCATTTTGACTACTGATCAAGGTCGACAATTCCAGTCCCATCTTTTCGCTTCTCTGACATCTATGCTTGGAATACGCCGAATTCGCATTTCGCCATACCATCCTTCCGCCAACGGCTTAGTGGAACGTTTCCACCGCGACCTAAAAGCAGCTCTAAAGTCCCATAATGATACCCGTTGGACTACATCACTCCCTCTTGTGCTTCTTGATTTACGTTCTTCCTTCAAGCAAAGACCGCGCAGGTATATCCGCTGAACATGTCTACGGCACACCCCTTCCTTTGCCATCTGAGTTCTTTCAGCCATTCTTTTACCAGACTTTCCGAGAGGCGATGAAGAAGCTGTCTCCGACTCCTACATCATGCCACAACAAATCCACCCCATTCGTATGCCATGCATTGAGCACTTGCACTCAAGTGTCTGTGCGAAACGACGCGGTAAAACCACCACTCAATCCTCCATACGATGGACCCTTCATGGTCTGTGCACGTAACAGTAAACATTTCACTGTTCTTGTACGCGACAAGGAAACCGTTCTGGGAATAGACAGACTGAAGCCTACCTTCTTCGAAGCTTCAAACACTCAGGTTTCTGTGACCAGCGATCCTCCTGCTACCTCAGACCCAACTGTTTCTCCAGATGCTCCTCCTTCGATCGACCTTACGCTTCCTCCCAGTTGTTCCACGATCGGGAAGACGTGTGCGCTTCAACACCAGATATTTATAAACTGATTTTTTTCATCGTACCTTTGGTACTCGGGGGGGAATACTGTGGAGAACTCTTTATTATTATTATTATTATTTGTCCACTGGCCCAAGAGAGGACGCTACCAGCTTTCTCCCTCTTCTCCACTAGGGAAAAATTCGAACTGGTTACTCTGTTCCTGGCTGCCGTTGGTGAAGCACGCGCTCACCTCTCTTCCGCTTCTGTCATGACTTTTTAACTACGTGGACTTGCTAACTATAAAAATGCTTATCGTGCGAACTGTAATCAATGTGACTGTGTATCAGTGAACGTGTGTTAAGTTAAAATATATACTTTTTTCTAGTGTTAAATAAAAAATGTTAATAATCATCGAGCTAAGCTATCATCGTTTTATCTGCAACAAACCAAAAATGGCATCCATAGACAAAAGCCATAGACTAAAATTCTCTTTCTATTCTGACCTCCTTGCTCATACCCAGAGAATTAATTCGAATAATGGAAATAATTGACTGTAGCATAGAGAGTTATTCATATTGCGTCCACTCTCGTATACAGCAAGAAAAAAAAAATTAAATATGAAGAGCGGTCCTTATCAATTCCGCAAGATTTTCCATATACAATCTTACCACAATTCCACATAAAATGTAAACAAAGTATGGAAGCTTCGTAATCGATTACAAAGCGCAAAGCTAACAAGCGCCTGGCCCCAGCCACCACCCCTGTTCTTATTGGTTGCCGTTTATGACGTCAGGCTGAAAAGATTCCATTATCTGTTTCGTTTGAGTTATGTCAAGGGGAACTTATAACTACTTTGGATTTGGTTCTCTCCTGTGTTAATGTGAATTTGTGCAATGTAACAGAATATTTGCAATTAAAACGAACCTAACAGTATAAGAAAATATATCGGCACTTTTTATATAAATTGTTTAATCATGTTAATGGAATAGATAAACTTTATAATGCGTAAATAGTGCTTGGCTAAGCAATCTGTATTCAATGCAATTCATAGCACTATACTGTTATTTAAGAAATGTATTTTATAATTTCATATAAAAGGAGACCATTAACAAGATTTGCTTCGTCAGCAATGTCAAGAAATAGCACTTAACTCTTACTGTGTAAATAATGTGTGCCGCAGTTTTCATGAATTAGCGGTTTATTTTACAGAAAAGTGTTTTTAAAAGTGATATAAATGTAAAATTTAGTTCTTTCTTTATAAAAATGAACTGTTTGATAATTAAATAACCTTCCTTTCATTTATTGCTTGTTATATAGAGATTGTTTGGTATCAAAATTGTTCGTTAGTCAGATTAATTTTTTACTTTCAAATCCTAGGCATTAATTTCTCCTCATTTATGGTTAAAAATAAGGTAAAGTGATAAGATACTTTTAAATCGAAAAATACTTATAATATCGTTTATTTGACTTTATCAATTGGAGTTATCATTCTTTTTTGTATGTATTATTGTTTTGTTTCTTAACTTTTATATCTTATAAAAAGTGTTTATTGTCAAATGACTTCGATATTCGTCTAATGACCAAAATACTGCTAAACGGTTATCGACTGCACATCGAATTGCACCTTTTTTCTAATATTATGTACATTAACAATATATTTCTGAAGCTGCTTTTTATTTTTGTAATTTTTTCGCAAATATGGCAAATTATTCCATTGCTTCGCCTGTTTCAGCGCTAAAATGATCTCGAGCTCAAGCTTTTGGCGCACAAAAATGCTGCAGAGAATTCTTTTCGTCACTGTATGACATCAGAAGTCGTGTCCAATAAGAGCTTGGGGTGGTGGCTGGGGCCAGGCGCTTGTGAAAAGACATCAGCTATTCGTCATCGATGGGGAAAGGACAGTCTGGGCCATCCGAAAAAGCGGCGACCGTTTCCAACGGGGCTTCAGAGACAGTAGTGGAGTTGAAGTGAAGTGAGGTAATGAGCGGAGTAGAACTTTTGTGCTGTTAAAACTTATTTAGTTACTCAATTGTTATTCTAAGCGACATTTTACAGAATAACAGTTACATCATGCATATCAGTCGCATTTGTTCTATAGTGTGTAGACGTCTTATTCAGCCGACTGTAAGCCCTTACAGAATTTCTTCTGTTCTCCTTTCTAGGAACCTAGCAACAGGTTTGGTGTATTATTGATTATCAACAGAGATAACATGTATCTGTATAGATCAATGTTATGTGCATTAGCTGAAGACGTAATTGCGTTAAACTTGTTTAATTGCGATAAAACGTAAAAATTCCTTTAAGAGGAAATATTTAAATTGGCATTATCGATCAGAAATTAACGTACTGTTTCAAAATTGTTTTCGACAAAATTTTTAATTTCCAAAGAAACTTAATTATCATATTTCAGGGGAAGCTAAATTGCTTTGATAGCATGTAGAGTTCCAGATTCGTAAACATAGTTTATAAGCCAGCATTGAAATTGCACCGGTTTCGAAATGATGGAATAAAATAGTGGAAATATATTTTGCTGTTATGATATTTTCTCATAATTTTCTTAAGTAGATATTTTCAGTGTCGAGGAATTGTACTGTTAGGAAAGTAATAAACTTTTACTGAAGAAAATTACTTCGCTCTAGTGTAGAATTGGGTGCCCCTTCAATTAGCGACAACTTTTTGTAAAATTTTGGCGATAAAATCTTATTTCTGGTTACCATGATAGTTTAACTTTGCTTTAACCTACTGATTTTTTAAAAATAAAAATAGATTGATGTGTACATGGTCAAATTTAAAGCAGTGCGCAATGCCTAGTTTATGCAATTCTGGGATGTTTTTTAAGTGAAAACAGGTCAATGTGTACCATACAGAGCTTATGCAATTCTTTGACTTCTTATTTTGGTTTTGTGTAGCGGCCATCTTGAAATTGTGTCTTCCTGGCGCCAATCTTGGCGTCAAAACAGAATCGCCAAAAAACAAGGGGCACCCAATTGTAAACTTTTACCAATTACTGTGTTTGCAGTTACAAACAGCTTCGATAATATGTTGATTTTAAATACCAAGCTTGAATTGGAGATCCATACACATGAAGTGCATCTAGCAAATCATGTAGGGTACCTACAAAAACACCCCTTGATTTTAAGTGACTGTAAATTTAAAATTCATTACAATATGTACTTTTATAGATTTAGGGTAAAATCCTAGTATACGGTACAACATTGTCACGATTTTGAAAATAGTCACTAAAATGAACCATTTACTACTCATCATAAATGCCATGTTTATTGCTCATCATAAAGTAGCCGAATCCTGTGTATATCATGTACTAGGATTAAACCTAGATACAGTTTCATATGGTATCAGTTTATTTCAGAACTTAATGTGATCTCTGAGACGAGGCATTACCTGATAACTATGATTGCGATAATCGAGTTCAGACCATACTCTTGGAAGCATATCCAGCAAGGTTGAGTTGATATCTTCAGTGGTGTATTCCTTCAGATCAATCATAGTTGAGGGTGGTGTAGGTATGTACACTGTTTTATGTAATCTCCAAGAGAAAGGTCACAAACAATAATAATGTCAGGGGGCACTTATGGAGCATCATTCCATTTGGGCCAGTGCGACAGGTCTTTCTGTTCAGAAGGCTGTTGCTGAGAAATTTATGGACACTGCAGTACTAATAAGATGGTGTTCCATCATGTTGAAGAAGATAAATCTACCTTATCACCTAGTTGTAGCTTAGTATATATCTTTAGAAAAAATAAGACTATTCACTTTCTGTGGTGATATGGCACAAAACATGTTATGTTTTAAAGAGTGATATGCTGGAGATGAGTGCAGAACTGATCTCTTTGCATTGTTGATCTTTTTTTAACTGTGTCAGTGACTGCATGTGACAGGGTGGAAGTACTAGCAGTTTTTTAAGATCATGTGAGCTGTGCTTTTTTAGGATTTGTAGTTCTTTGCTAGCTTTGTGTATTGACATTTTTGTGCTGTGGAAAAAGGTTTGCTTGATCGAATCATTAACCAGATTTTGAATGATTTGATCAAGCAAACCTTTTTCCACAGCACAAAAATAGTTGCTCTGAATTTTCTTTTTAATGGTCACAGATGAATTTGTTCCTCAACTAAACTGGGCACAGCTTTAGGATTAGTCCTTTTTGGTGGAAATTTATTTTGGCGACTCTTGGGCACAATTAATGAAAAATGATGATAATCCTTAATATTCAGATGTTGCCATTTCTGCCCACTTACTTTTAACGAGTTTGCTAGGTAACAGAGCTTTGATGGCGGGAGGGATAAATTGCAAGTTTTTATTAAAGTTACTTTTGTGTTAGAAAAGCAAAGTATAAAAACAGAACTTTTAAAATGTTTTCTAAAAAGCCAAAATTTGATAGTTAAGACTGGTGCTTTATTGAACATATGATTCTTGACATTTTTTTAAATGTCAAGAATGTTTTTTTTAAATGTTAATATGTTTCACTATTAAACTTATAATTCTTGACATTTTTTTAAATGTTAACTCTGCATACTTAAAACTTCCCCCCCCAAAAAAAAAGAACACATATTTTTAGTAGCATGAGATAAACTCTTGATGTTTTCTTTGCTAAGGAACCACATGCAAATTTAAACATCTTACATGTTTTTTAAAATGAGCCATGATCAAAATTACCATGGTGTAAAAATACTTTTTTGCTTCATTTCTTAAATTAGAACTACACCTATCTCCCGATTTACACAGAAGATGGGTTCTGCACAAAACCATGCAAATCGAAATCTTGGATTTTGCTTTGTAAAACGAAAAACGCACTTTAATGTGCATAATTTAGTCATTTATTTACATAGAAGAAAAGTAAGACATCTTAACATAAATAAAGTTATACTTCGTTCATAAAATGACAAATATATATAGGTAATAGGAGTACATATTTAATTTATTTGACATTAGGAAAATATAAGATCATTCAAAAAAACTACAAGTTTAATCACTGTCATCACTTTCATGAACTATTAGTCTTTTCTTTTTTAGGGCCCACCAGTGGCCGAGTGTTAAGTCGCTGAACACTGGTAGTTCGGTCCGAGGTTTGAATCCCACGAACGGGCTGGCTGCATGGGTGTTTTCGTGGTTTTCCCCATGTGTAATATGTATATGAGCTAGTTTCCCTTAGAAAGTCCTCAACGAAGGCATCCCTCCCCTTAGGCAGATAGCCCTCGAGGCTTTGCCATAATCACACACACACACACACTTTCTTTATTATTAGTATGATGTTACTTTCATCGCTTGAGTGTTTTTTTATATGCTTCTGCTTCACTGGTTGACGAATTAGGAAAGATATCTGATCAACAAGACTTGTAGTGAAATCCGTAATTAACAATTGCCTAAGCTTTTTCCCCTAAATCTGTAAACCTCCTCATATTGAGTTAAGCACTTACTAAGCTCCCGTTGGAATTTCAGAGCTCATTCAACATTTGTGTCATATCGTAAAAAATGTTTACCTAATTTTCTTCCCAATTCACATCTTATGCTGATGACTCTTGCTGTGAATGTAATTGGTTCAGATTGTCTTCAGCAGAATCATTGTCTTCATCATGTTTATATGTTTCATGAATCATGTTAGCTTACTCATCCTCATTGAGTTCTTCATCAGCCATTATTTCTACAATATCTGCCTGAGCTAAATCCTCAAAACCTTCTCCTCCTATAATTTGGGCCAATTTAGTGATCTGAGAATATTCATCCTCTAATAGTAATCTATCATTCTCATCTTTAGCAGCATCCAGCCATATTTCTTTCCAGCATGCGTTGATTGTTTAATCTGATAACAGTACAAAGTCTGTAATCCGGACGTCCATTATTCGGAATGATCTATGATCTGGACCTCAAAGCCACAAACTTACGCATGTGCATAAAGCCAGTAAAGCATTTACTCATGCGCGTTTCCGATAGTGAAGAAAGTAACAGAGAATATTATTGAAAACGAAATTTCGATTGACAAGTTAGTCGGTATTCTCGACACAGCAATTACAGGACTTGGACAGTGGAACTTTGTAACTGAACAAGAAATTCTATCTGTTTATAGAATTAAGGAGAAAGTATTAGCACAAAAAACGAAGCAACTTAAACAACTTGCAGTGATAAAAATGTTTACTAAAGTAAACAAATAAATATTAATCTTTTTTTTTTTTTTGTAAATTTTGATACCCTTTAGATCATAATTGCTCTTTATTTCATAAATTACGGTTTCATATTTTTTAATTGTATAATTTCTGCATGCCATCTTACCAGATTTAAATTGACGATCTGTAATCCGGAATCGCCGAAGTACCGATGAGTCCAGATTACGGACTTTGCACTGTATATAACAATCCAACATGCTTAACAAAATCTAAGGTTGCAAATTTCTTCCAAGCATCCATAAACATAAGAGATTCATTTGTTCTAAAATATACCTGAAGGTTTTTTTAATATACAATGCCTTAAAAGTCGAAATTATTCCTTGATCTAACAGCTGTAATAAAGAAGTTGTATTCTTTGGTGAAAAAACTTCTACATTTTCGTGTTGTAAATCTTGAGGATTTTTTTTTTTTTCGTGTGCAGTAATTATTTGTTACCAAGCGCCAAATTCACTTTTTTGCTAAGACCACGATAGAAGGCAAGTACCAGAAATTTGTATGCAGTCGATAAGGGTAATGAGGCTGCAGAAGCTACTAAAACTCAAAATGTCATTGTTATCTTAGCAGCTCTATTAAAATGTGTTAAAATAGCATTTTTATCTGAAAACTTTGATAGTTTAATGGGAAAAACGTGAACTTTAAAACAGTTATCAAATATTATATGATATTAATGATGTAAAAAAGAGAGAGACACTTGGAAATATTAGTTAATCAACAAATAGCAACCTGCATTGGCAAATTAGCTGTATATCTTAACAAATTTATCCATTAAAACATTGAATGTATATGGTAAAGAAACAAATATATGGCATTTATATAATTGATCTGAGATGTAGTTCTTTTAATTATCTTGAAGTAAAATATATTGTTCTTTTTTTTGATATTTTATAATAATATGTACAAAAAATTTGTTTTAAAGCTGCCAATTATGAATTTATCAAAGTGGAGAAAGCAGGAGAAAAGCAGAATATTGGGTTAATCACATTAAACAGGAAGAAAGCTTTGAATGCTTTGTGTGATGGGTTAATGAATGAACTATCAAGTGCCTTGGATACCTTAGAAAGTGATAAAGATGTGGGTGCCATTGTTCTTACAGGAAGTGAACGAGCTTTTGCAGGTAACTTTTCTAATATAACTATTATGTAAATTTTAATTTATAAATGTACAGAACAAAACATCTGAACAGTGATGCATGAAATATTTTACTGTAGCCTTTTTTTTTTTTTTTCTTCTCAGTTCACATTTGAAAGACTTATTTTAGTTATAATTGTAACGTTAATACATTATTTTTTTCTGTAATTCTAACTGAATTTTTATTATTATTTAAAATTTGGATGATTTCATGTAATAATTTATTTTATTTTATTATGTATTATAAATTTTAAATATTTGTAAGAAAGGAAACTGATTATATTATAATTATTACTTAATTCTTCAACTAGCCAAGGGTTTTTAAACTCCAAAGTTCCCAAAAATGCTACGAGAAAGTTTTTTATTTTTCCTTAGTATGATTAGAAATTGCACTTGCTCATTTGAACATGGACTCATTTTTGTATAATACAGTATTAGTGCCTTAAATGTTTGGAATCATTGCTAGATACATGTATATGTTTTCACTCAAAGGAGTTAGGAAAAATAATTTGGTACTTGCGTATTATCCCATCAACCCCAAAGTTGGACGAGATCCCACCAAAGTTGCATCAGTTTTTCTTACTGAATTTTAAAGCAGCTGATGCCTCTTTATTTAATAAACAATCAGTATTAGATACACTTCATTTTTATGCTTCATAAAAAGGCTTTCATTGATTTCTGATGTTTCGTTAAGCCTTCCGATTTTACCTGAATTTAAGAATACTATGAGTACAAACTTTCCACAGGTAATTATTCTAATCTATTATTCTTTTGTCGGCCATATTCAGCTGACTATACCATGTCCTTAAAATCATACCCATAAATTTGAAATTAATCTACTGCTTGCTGCTCTTTAGAAGACACATTCCAAATTTTAATCTTTTTTCAAAATACAAGGAAAAACAGTAGCAATAACTGTTAATTTGCATCCTCATTCGTAAAAATAAAATGTGGCTTATTGAGAATCAGTCAGAGTAACATCAGGAGAAAGTGCAGATGTTTTAAGTATGCTGCTATGTTTTTTTCTGTGTGGTCAGTATGGAAATGCATTAGCATTCTCTGAAAATGCATTCCCCCCAAGTACTATTCTTTATTATTATTTCTGCTAAACTCTTTTTCTATGCAAAAATTCCTAAAGCGACAATTTTAATGATTTCCAGACATCATGGTCATTGTATGCAAATAACCAATAGCCAAGGTTAAGATAAGCCTGTTATGTCTGCTCTTTGTAAAGGGTACAGATCAGTAGCAGGTAATGTCAAGAGTTTCCTATAGACAGCATTGCCTTCATGTTCAATCAGTTTACGGATGTGCATGATTTCCTCAGTACTCGTGGTGGCCAAGGGAAGACTTCTTTGTGAAAGCTAACGATGATGCTACTTTTTAATCTCGTCTGTTTTTGTGAGTTAATGGGAAGAGGAAGCAAAGTGTTGCATTTTGCACTTAATTTCAGTCGTCATGATATTTTGACTGTAGAGTTTGGCAAGTTAAAGAAATGAATGAACAATATTACTGTTCTTCAAATTTTTTCAATAGGCAGATTTCCATCAATCAATAAGAATGTATAAAAGTTCATATGCACTATGCAAATCACTAATCAGTTCATAAATTACCCTTCCACCTCCTATTTACCTGCAGCCTACCACATACTTTTTTTGTTTGTTTATTCTGTCAACTTTTACATTATGAGAACTTAAATTGGAACTTTTCTGTTTTGGCGGCACAAATCTCACCAAGCAGACTGTATTGGCAACAACACACGGTATACACATAAAACATGTTAACAAATGTTAGTTCTAAGGATTTTTTATTTAGAAGGCATCAACATTTTAATATCATTTAAAATTTTTGTAAAAAATCAATAAATAAAGACAATAAATTTGTAAAACGAAATTAATTTAAGAATTTACTATGCTTTCATGGTACAGCATCCTGATTCGCCGGTTCATATCACGCAACTCCAAGTGATCTCATCTCATGTAAACTACCCTACAAAAATCTAATTCTCTCATTAATTTCAAGTTATCCAGTTATTAGTTCATTCTACATTAATTTCAAGTTAAATCTTACTATGGAATAGAAGTTAAAATGCAAGAATCATTTTTATTCATACAAATAGCTAACTCATAAATTATGTAAAACTGCAGTGCTTTACTTCCCTAGTGCATTTGCATTAGAATTGATGAATTTAACCCTTTACTTTGCCTTTTCTGTATTTTCGCCTTCTGATGAGTGGTGTGATTGCATCCTAATTGACTTAACTACCACGAATGAACGTAGGGCATAAAATTGAACTATCTGGTAAAAATTCTATGCAATTTTATGCCAGTATTGAAAGGAACAATTAATCTGGTAAGAAATGGCTGCGACTTGTTTTGAAAATGAGGCGTAAAAGGTTACAAGCGAGAATATTCCGTTTGGCATCGGTTGTACCATTTTCGGCGACTTTATTGCATGCGCCGGCAAAACGGGAAAAGTACCCTTAAATTTAGTGCTCTTTTTTTTTTCATTCTTCAATCAGTCAATCTAAAAACAGGTTTATAAAGTCACTCACAGTATATTGTAATCTTTGATTTTAAGTATAACAAATTATATGTTGGATATAAGAAAATTTTGTGGAGGTACATTTTTCATATCATATTACTACCTGTAACTTTTCCCTTTTTTTAACATCAACTTACAGCTTACTATTTATAAGTAAGGTCAGTGTAAAGCATAATATAACTTAAACATTGCCTAGACTCTTCAGCTGGACAAGAGTACGACAGTATGATGGCCTGTGTATAGCTTTCTTTCAAGAACATGTAATTGTCTTTGTTTCTGTTTAAGAGAAAAGCCGAGTAATGAGGAGTTTGGGGTCCTCCAAGATATGTTGCCTTAGGCTTAGGCCTTATGAACCTAGACAATGATTAGGTCCTGTTGTTTAAGTTATTACTAAATAGTCCAAAAATACTTGGGTATACTTCTTAGGCCAGTTTGATTTATAATAAACCAAAACTATGTTTGAGAGAATAGTTGCAAAATTTGGTAATTTCGGCATACTGCAGACGATTCATGTAGTCAAAACCATCGAGTCTAATATGCATGAAAAAAGTAACAGTGGAGTGCAAAAATGTTTAATGCATTTAGCTCAAGCTGTTTTGATGTTAATAGTAAGTTATAGAACAGGGCTTGGCAACCTTGTAGCTGTGGTGAATCAAATCAGTTTACTAATATAATTCAGGATGCCACACAGAGGAAATATTTGAAACAATCCGATCCTGCGGCAATGCATGCAAGTTAGGGAACAGAGGACAAGAATACAGATTTAGAAATTTATTATATTATAATTATACATCATTTAAAGATATATATGAACACAAAAATAAACAACATAAAATATAACTATTCCTTCAACATAAAAAATTTGAATTGTACACGTAATATGTCTTACGTATCTTTTAAACATATTTGTTAATAATATTATATTTATTTTTATTATTAAATAAATTAAATGGCATAAAATATAAGTATTCCTTCAGTACAGTTAAATAAGATATTAAAATCTCAATGCAAATCTTGGCCTTGTACTGCTCTATTTAATATCCCAATATCAGCGATATAATTTGAGACTTCCAGTTTAACACATGATTCTGAATATTCAGTTGTTAAACAACTTTTTTGGGGACTCAAAATATTTTTCTTGTTAGAAAAGATTTGTTTACATAGATATGTAGAACCAAAAGCAGAAAACAGAGCACATGTAATTTTCTACAAATAATTAAATCTTTCTCGCATTGACATCCACGAATTTTAAATAGTTGATATATCATTAGAGTTATCTTCCAGCTTTCCATAGATTTTGCTTTCCATGATTCTGAAGATATTAGTTCAATAAGTTCCTTTTGAAAATTATCGATTTCCATCCACTCAAAAATTAACAAAGCGGATGGTATTATTAATGGGTCTATTAAATCTGGCTTTATTAGAAAGGACAATATAGGCATTCAAACTTCAGAGTCATTGCATCTTTTCGAAAATTCCTCCTTAAGTGCTTCAAGGTAGGTTTGAAATTATCTTTTTGTAAGTTTGAGGTATTTGCAAGCGCTTTACATTTGGGAAGTTTTTATAAGTACTAGTATTAATATCATGGGAAAATATATTTAATTTTGTTACAAAGCCTGTAAAATATTCAAAAATTTCAAGCACTATTTGGCCCTTTCCTTGCAATTCTTCATTCATTGAGATGTTTAGTTACAGTAAGATGTTAGTTACATCAATTTGCATAACCATTCATTATCGTTCAGTTTGGGGAAAAGTTGATCTTGTCGTTAAGAAGAACTTTAATGTGTTCCATGCATGACACAAACTTATTCAAGTCATTGCCTCAACTGAGCCAATGGACATGGCTGTATAAGGTGGAGATCCACATATCTGCTTTCCATTTCTTCTAAAGGTGAATTTAAATTGCCTGTGTACCAATAAAGAATGAGACACTTTGAACTAGTTTAACCAACAGACCTGTTCATTTCAGAAATTACGTACTATGACTGACGCAGACAGGAAAGACACGATTTATCTTTGCCTGATAACTTTGTAGAGTGCCACTGATAATTGTACTGTGTGCCATAGGTGCCAATACCTGTTATAGAACTAAAGATATCAAGGAATTAGTTTGTTTTTCATCCTTTTCATGTATTACAGCTAATTATATTACTTTTCAAATGTATACATTATTGTTACTACTATCATCATCATCAACAACAAATAATTAAGAGTTTTGAAAAATTGTCCCCAAAATATTGAAAAATATCAAAGGAGCAAGCACATGGCTGTCCATCTCTGTCCCCCAAAAAATTTTAATCTGAAGGTTGGCTAAATTAAACACTCTATCTCTGTGTGTGAGTGTGCAAAATAAAAATTTTGTTTTATGACACTTCAATTTTAATTTGTAGGTAATTCATTTTCTAATTGCATTTATTTTATAATAGATCTAACTCAACAAGT